AAATTTTCCGAAAAAAACTGCACGGTAAAAAAACGTTTACGGACGCATTTTAACTTTGGGGTAATGCAACAAAAAAAAAAAAAAAAGACAAACGTGGAAACTGCTGATATGGAGGCATATTGGGAGCCATCTGTGGCAGTTGTATATCTGAAGTACTCTGATGTGAAGCAGGCTCAGGCTCTCGCTGCTTTCCTTTCAGTCCATGCTCATCATAAATATCTGAAAAAAAAGTCCACCAATGTCTCGTTTTATTTAAACTGGGCAGGCATGGGAAGTGCACACAAACGTGAGAAAAAAAGAAAGACAATAGGAAAAAAAACCGCCAAGTTTAACAGTTAAATTCAAAAACACAACATATACAGAAGACGTAAAGAAAATGAAACAAAAAGAAAATTACTTTTGAGGTTAGAAGGTAACGATTCAACTTCAAGATGGCCTCCGTCGATAAGAGGTTCCAGATCATCGGGCAGCTTGCTGTACGGAATAACAGAATATCCGCGTTCTGAATCCCAATATTCCGCATATTTGTCGCCTTTCAATCCCTGCCCGATGCCCCAACTCAGCTGAAAGTTTTAAATTTGGGAAATTTGAAATTAACACCCGAAAAACTGACAGACCGCTGACGACATATTCAAGTGTGTATACGTGAATATGAACAAGATTACCAAGATTGTCTGAACATTCGTTAAAGAGATCCGATGCTAATGATGTTACTGTGTAACGCTCAATGATTTTGAGTTGCGTACCGCCGCAACTACTAAAACTCGGTGTGACTGCGCAATATGCACTTGCTTTTAGGTTCGAGTTTAAGCTGCAAAAATCTTGCCGAATTTTTTTGTCTACGTGGGTTTCTAGAGGTCGCGTTCAGGATTGCTAACTTTCCCTCAGCATCAAGTTCCACGCTGAACATAAAAAACCTCCTTCGATGTCTTTCATAAACACCAAGGACATCGCATAATTAAACGATTTTCTAGAAAAAGTGGTCTGTGACTTCATCTCTCAATAGCAGCCTACGTCTGTAGATGCACATCGAGAGGATGACTCCATTTTGTGGCGGCATCCTCTTAACACATGAGATTCGTAGCAATCTTTCACGCTCTAGGTTGATGACCCGTTGCTGTAAACCGGGAAAAAAGTCGTGCAGCATACTAAAACCTTTCCTTATTTCTCATTCTTGCTTTTTTTCGTAATGCGCTGTATCAGGTACACTTGCATTTCTTGCGTGCATAGCTGTTTGATTTTTGATTATTACTAACTGCTGGTCAGACTGACATTCGCTGCTTAGACGGAAAAAATGCAACACAATGTCTTCTCAAGAAGCTTAGAGCTTCCAGGGTTTGCAAGCTACTTTACTGTGCCTCGATATAGCCTAGTTCGTTGTCATTCCCACATCATGATGAGGTAACTGGGCTGAGATCTTGTGCGAACAATACGGGAAAAAAAAACAAATGAAAATGAGCCTACAGCGATGAGCTTGATAGTACCATAAAAATGTAAATTAGGTCACATTCTTTCTCATATAAGTAAAGCGTACTTTGACGTTTTTGTCCAATATCTTGAAGTTTCCTTGCATGCGATCCATCACTCGAAATGCTGCCTTTCGATCTTTCATTGTAACATAAGCACATGCACGTGAATGAATGATGCTAATGCGAGCTGGTTCGCCAGCTTCAGCTACTGCCCGACGAATGTCGGGTTCGCCACAGCTGGAAGGGATCCTGCCCATCCACAGCGTGCAGGATGCAACTGAAACGTATGAATGAAGGGAGAGGAAAAGCAAAGGGGCCACTTGTACGGCTTTTAATGAAATGTTGTGTAAGGCACCGAAAGAAAGGGCTGGTGTACGGCTTATCCAAGCACGTGGATGCAAATTAGTAACATCAGTAAGTAGGGGCAGAAGAAGGGGCTGGTGGTCCAGGACAGCTCGGTAGTGCTCCATGAAGAATGTCGGCAATAAATTACCGAAATAAAAAAGCAACAATATACTTACTCAACAAACATCCTTCCTTCGGTGGCCAGGGAAGGCCCATTTTTCTGCGTTGTCGCTCCATATCTCGGTACTGAAACATCTACACAGTGACACTATCACTTCACGCAAAACGACAGAAAAGATTCTTAGTGAGACGACACTTTTCTCAAAATCCTCGCCGTATCATAAATTCCTGAAAA